ATGCACTGATCACAGTTCTGGAGGAGGCCAGAAGTCCAAAATCAAGGTGTCACAGGGCTGCCCTCCCTCCAGAGGCTCCAGGGGAGAATCCCTTCCTTGCCTCTTCTGGCCTCTGGTAGCTGCCAGCTTTCCTTTGCTTGTGGCCACATCACTCCAGTCTCTACATCCCCAGTCACACTGCCTCCTCCTCTGTGTGTGTGTCTTCTTCTCTTTGGTCTGTCTCAAGTCTCCTCTGCCTCCCTCTTATAAGGTCACTGTGATCACATTTGAGGCCCCTCTGAAGAATCTCCCCATGTCCAGATCCTTAACTTAATCCCATCTGCAAAGTCCTTTTATGTTATGTAAGGTCACATTCACAGGTTCCAGGGATTAGGATGGACATGTCTTGGAATGCCATTGTTCAGCCTACCACAATGGGGGGGGGGTGCCAGAAAGATGTCCTTGGGGAGGTGACATTTCAGTTAAAACCTGATAAGATAAGGAGTTAGCCAGGGAGAAGAAACAGAGACAGAATGTTCCAGCTGAAGGAACAAATGTGTCAAGCTCTTGGACAGGAGGACAAACAAGGGTAGTTTGGGGAAGCTGAGTGATCCAGGACAGCTGGACCTTAGGGTGCTGGGCAGGTGGCCAGGTGCTGTGCCTCTACCTGCAGGGTGGAGCCTTCTCCTCTCAGCCCCTCTCAGGACCCCAGGCCTGGTGAGGTTCTAGCTGAAGCCTGCCCACTCTGGCCTCTAGAGGCCCTGGTTAGCCCAGCCAAGTGGAGGGAAAATTTTTAAAAGAGCATTACACATTGTGTGCCTATATTGAACATCACATGTATCTTATGAATATCTGCAGCTCTTGTGTGCCCCTAATAATTAAAAAATAAAAAAATTTAGAAAAAAGCAGCCTGACAATGTGTCGGGTGCTTTGCAGGCTATGGGGCTCAAAAGTTGTGCCTAATGGCCAAGCTGAGTGTTGGCTTGTGCAGGAAGTGCAGCCCTGTACCAGGCCTGGAGTCCTCGGTGGCCAGCACCCGCCACCCAGGAAGGAAAGTGGCCTCTGACACCCACTGGCTGTGTGGCCTCGGGCAAGTTGCTCAGCCTCTCTGGAGAGCCCTGTGTCCTCTACTCTAGGTATTAGGTGCTATGCAAATGTTAGTCATTGCAAGCACCCAGAAGTCCTGCCAGCCTCCGGATAGAGACAGGACAGAGGCTAGAGGAATCTGGGGCTTCCAGGCTGGCACAGAGCCCACCTGAAGCCCATGTCTTCTTTTGAGAGATCTATTCTCTCATTTATTGGTCAAGCTGGCTCAAGTTGGTTTGTTACTTGCAGACAAAAACATCTTATCTGATGTTTTTCATAATGATTTTTGAAAAATTAGGGTGTTATGAAATATTTAAACATGGACAATGCTGTGATGAAAAGTTGAGATGAGGTTCAGCAGTTTCTGACATTTTGCATCTGTGGTAGGTATTAAGAGAACAACACCCCCACCCCAGAACCTGGGGATACATTATGTTAGATGCCACTGGGGAATTAAGGTTGCAGATGGACTCAAGGTTGCTAATCTGTTGATTTTAAGATAGGGGCCAGGTGCGGTGGCTCACACCTGTAATCCCAGCACTTTGTGAGGCTGAGACAGGAGTATCACTTGAGGCCAGGAGTTTGAGACCAACCTGGGCAACATAGTGAGACCCCATCTCTACAAAAAATTTAAAAGAATTAGCTGGGTGTGGTGGCACGACTCACCCATAATTCCAACCATTTTGCTCCTGTTAATTCAGTTGAAGGAAAACAACATTTTTTTTTTTTTGAGACAGAGTCTCACTCTGTTACCCAGGCTAGAGTGCAGTAGTGTCATCTTTGCTCACTTCAACCTCAAACTCCTGGGCTCAAGCGATCCTCTTGCCCCAGCCTCCCTAGCAGAGCTGGGACTACAGGTATGTGCCACCATGCCTGGCTAATTTTTTCTATATATGTTTAGTTGTCCAGCTAGTTTCTTGCTATTTTTGAGTAGAGACGGAGTCTCGCTCTTGCTCAGGCTGGTTTTGAACTCCTGACCTTGAGCGATCCTCCCGCCTCGGCCTCCCAGAATGCTAGGATTACAGGTGTGAGCCACTGCGCCTGGCCAAAAACAACACCTTTTACCTTAATATGTCTAGTATGAGCCCATTTGTAGGGACTGCTTTTGCTTCCTTTTGTTTCCATCTCTCCATCCAGCAGTCTTGCCTTCTGTCTGTGTACACGGAGAACATGGTGCTGATGAGGGCTGTTTCTTGGTAGTGGAATTTAGAGGTTTTTCTTTTTTAGTTTTTATCTTTGCGCTTTTTTGTGTGTTGGTTTGTTTTTTTTTTTTGAGTAGGCATTATTATTATTTTTTTTTACCAAAACAATAAAATCATGATTATGTATTTTCATTACCAAAGTCTGTCCTGATGCCCATGGCCACCATTTCTTGAGCAGCCTGTCTGTCTCTGGTGAGGTGTCCCCAGAGCAAACCACCACAGTGCAGCCTATTACCGCCTCCTCCTCTCCCATCTTAGATGAGTAGACAGAGAGATAAAATTCATCTCTGGCTATTAGGGACTGAATTGTGTCCCCTTCCAATTCATATATTAAAGCCCCCAGTCCCTCAGAATGTGACTGTATTTGGACATAGGGCCTTTAAAGAGGTGATTATGTTAAAATGAGGCTGGTAGGGTGGGCCTAAATCCAGTCTGTCTGGGTTCCTTATGAAGAGGAGATTAGGACACAGATGTGCACACGCATGGCAGAAAGACCATGTGAAGACACAGGGAAACAGTGGCCACCTGCAAACCAAGGAGAGAGGCCCCAGGAGAAACCAACCAGCCTCCAGAACTGTAAGAAAATAAACTTCTGTTGTCTAAGCCACCCGGTCTATGCTATTCTGTTATGGCAGCCCTAGCGAACTAGAGCACTGGCATTATCACCTACTTTGCTCCAAACAACTTCTGTGTGATGATTAATTTTAAAGTGTGTTATGTTATGAGACAGCAGATTTAGTTTCTCAAAGATACTTCATTTTCACTGTCTTGTGAAAACTCCTGACAAACCGGTGACCCTGTGACAAGTCAGAATGGTGCTTCTGACTCCCCACTGGACAGAAGGAGCACTGAGGCCTTTGGGGGAAACATGGCTTAGTCAAAGCCACATAGCCAGAATGCGGGTCTTCAGATCCAGCCCTGAGCATGGCGTAGAAACACTGAGATCAGAAAGATGTAGGAAGGGAGCATGAATTCCATCTTCCCATCTCGGACATAGTCCATCAAATCACAGACTTTTAGAAGAATCACATTTGTGTTTGGCCCTGATCTGATGGCTCCCTCCTATCATTCAGAGAGCCTTTTTAAAGTAACAGAAAACATTTGTTTAAAAGTTGCTAATTTTACAGCTACAAAACCAAACTGAAGGCGTCCTGGCTCTCCCCTTTATCTGAAGGTTAAGGATGTTTTGTTTAGGACTAACAGCCCCCCGCTGCACACCCCGCCCTGTGCTAAGCCGTCCAAAGAGTAAAGGACAACAGATTTGTTCCTACCAAGGTCCCCACTCTTCTCCAATTTTCTTGACAAAAAAGAACAAAATTCCAATTGGTTACACAAGACCAGTAAGGCTAAAAAGCACATTTCAAACATCCCAAAGGGAGCATGAAGTCTGAGAAAGGACCTCACATGGGGACAGCCAACACCCTGAACCAAGCCCTTCTCAGTACAATCTCTTACAAGACCAGAGTGAATTGCCCAAGAACAGTCCAAAGGTTTCTGTGAAATTCGCAAAGGATGTTCCCCTCCCCCGTCTGAGTGGGAGCCTGCACATCCCCTGCAACACGGGGGGCAGGGGGAGGGGACAGCACAGGGACAGTGGCAAATGCCTTTGTCTTGGTTCACAGCAGCAGGACTGGGCCCCAGTAGCAGGACTGGGTCCCAGGCCCCAGAGGTCTGTGTGCCTACAGTGGAGTGGGCGAGGGAGAGTGGTAGGAGGCGAAGTCCAGGAGGGCACAGGGACCTGCAGGGCCTGGGAGGCATCTCTCGGGGTGTGGCTTTTGCTCTGCCTGCGGGCTTTTGAGCAGAGGAGTGGCATGGTCTGACTTATGTCTCAGGCTGCTGTGTGGAAGAGATCGCAGGTGGGCAGGGTCAGAAGTGGGGAAACTGGCAAAGACCCCTTTGTGATAATTCAGAACAAGCTGATGGTGGTGAGGGGGAGTCGTAAGACGTGGTTACATTCTGGAAGTGGGAGTTGTGTGAGATGAGAGAAGTCAAGAACGATTCCAAGGGCTGGGGCTGGAACATCTGGATGGATGTGATGCCATTCCCTGAGATGGGGAGGACAGGGGGTTTGAACTGAATTCTCTCTGACCCCCAACCCCATGGCACAAGGTAAACCTGATGCATCAGCTTCACGCTTCTCTGCTCCTCTCTTGTAAATCTTACCTAGAAAGATAAGATCTGTCCATCCATCCATCCATCCATCCATCCATCCATCCATCCATCCATCCATCCATCCAATCATTCATTCATTCATTTGTATCATTTAACAAACTAGTATCTACCATGTGGCAGACATGACAGGCACTGTAGACATGAGGATTCATTATACTTATACCCTGCACTCAAGAAACTCATACTTTAAAAAAAAATTAAAAAAATAAAAAATAAATGAAATAAAAAAATGAAAAATAAATGAAATAATAAAATGAAAAATAAATTCATACTTTGGTGAGGATTCAGAGATCAGCCATCCTCACACATCTATTCAGTCATTTAGTCACTCAACAAGTATTCATTAGCACTTAATTTCTGGAAAGCAAGCATCGTGGCAGGAATAGAGGTGGTTGATTTTGCCCTTAAGAAAATCCTAGTCCAATAGGAGAGCCTGTGGTTAGCCATCCTCACTCATTCGTTCATTTATTGGTTCACTGAAGAGTCACCAATATCCAGCCTGTGCCAGGGTCTGGGAGAGGACACCTGTTGGATGACCCAACAGTGGGCTCTGGTGAGCGTCTCTAAGCAACAAGGCCTCCCTCAGGAAGCCTGGCCTCCTCCCCCCACCCCCGGGTTCCATCTACTGCTCTCATCATGTGAGCAAGTTGCCAAAGTTCATTGCACCACCTCCCCACAGCATGCTGGGAACTAACTCTGGTTTTATCTTCCTGCAGAAAACCATGAGCCCATCTATCCAGGCGGCCACCCTCACAGCCATCTGCCTAGGCCCCATCTGATCCTTCTTGACACCTGCAGGTCCCAAACCCCAAGATGTGCCCATTCTGGAGGCTCCTCACCCTCCTCGGATTGCTGGCCTTGCCCTCAACACTGAACAAGCAGCCACAGCCTGCCCTGGCCAAGGCCCACATAGACAGCAAACCTACCCTGGCAAAAAGTAAGCTAAACCCCCAGCCCGGTCTGCTGTCCACAGGGTGGGTGGGAAGGCATGGTCTGGACCCTCCCCCTGACCTGCTGGATGACTTCTGGTCAGTCATTTAGCCTCTTTCTTCCTTTTCCTCTTAGACCTTAAGTATAGAAAATTGAGGTTGAGTAGATTATATGCCAATTATTTTAGATTATCATTAGATGGCACCTCTTTTGTTCAATTTTATGTTATTTTCCCCTTTTGTCCCTTATCTTCATTCCCACGTCCCTGCTGCCTTGGCAGGCACTGCAATGTGTTTAATGTATGTATTTAAATATGCCTATATCCTTGCACATGTGGTATTTTGATTTACATAATTGTATTGCCATATATATCTCATTCTGTTTTTCACTATTTTCACTTGACATTGTTCTGTTGACATCTATGTTGTTTCAGCTGGTGCATAGAGGTCCATACATTCACCCACATCAGTTTATTTGGCTGCATCCCTAGGGATAGACACTCAGGTTGTCTGTAAGTCCTCACTATTATAAACTACATTGAGATGAACATCCTTGTATGTGTCCCTGTTAGAACCTGTGGGAGAATGTCTCCGGGATATACCCAGAAGGGGGATGTAAACTCAGCTAGGGCAGATGTAAACTCAATTTCACTAAAACTGCCAGAATCCTCCCTAGAATGGCTGTGCCAGGCTATCTATACTTGCTCCAGTAATGAATGAGTCTGTCCATGTTTCCCAACACTGGAAAGTATTTATCTGTATCAGTCTGGTAGGGCTGTCATAACATGATACCACAGATTGGGTGGCTTAAGCAACAGACCTTTTTTTTTTTTTTTTTTTTTTTGAGACAGTGTCTCGCTTTGTTGCCCAGGCTAGAGTGAGTGCCATGGCGTCAGCCTAGCTCATAGCAACCTCAAACTCCTGGGCTCAAGCAATCCTCCTGCCTCAGCCTCCCCCAAGTGGCTGGGACTACAGACATGCGCCACCATGCCCGGCTAATTTTTTCTATATATATTAGTTGGCAAATTAATTTATTTCTATTTATAGTAGAGACGGGGTCTCGCTCTTGCTCAGGCTGGTTTCAAACTCCTGACCTCGAGCAATCAGCCCACCTCGGCCTCCCAGAGTGCTAGGATTACAGGCGTGAGCCACCGTGCCCGGCCAGCAACAGACATTTATTTCTCACAGTTGTGGAGGCTGGAAGTCCAAGATGAAGGTACCAGTGGGGTTGGTTTCTGGTGAGGCCTCTCTTGCTGGCTTGTGGATGGCCTTTTCTCTGTGCATGCAGAGAAAGAGATGACTGCCATCATTTCTTCTTATAAGGACATCAGTCCTATCAGTTTAGGGCCTCACCCTTATGACCTCATTCAACCTTCATTACCCCTAAAGGCCTTATCTCCAAATACAGTCACATTGAGGGAGGGGAGAATACAACTCAGTCTATTAATACAGCATGATCTTTAAGATTTTTTTGCTAGTTTGATGTGTAGTTGAGTGATATCTAATTGTTTTAGCTTGATTTTATCTGATTAGCCGGAGGGTTGAATATCTCATCATAATTTTGTTAACCATTTTGACTTCTTTGAATTCCCTGGTCTTTTGTCCATTTTTCTATTTGCTTTCCCTTTTTTTCTTAATCCCCTTTGGTTTGTGGAGCCATTGATTTATTCTTGACATTAGTCCCTTGTCAGATTTAAGCATTGCTAGTCATTGCTAATATCATCTATTAACTTTGTACATTCTTCACTGAACAGGAATATTTTCAAACTCATCAATATTTTATCTTATGTTTGTGTTTGGAGAGTCTTAAGACTTTGCCCCTACCGCAGATATATTCTACTTTGGTTTTTTCTCTAATAGTTTTATAGTTTTATCTTTCACATTTTGGATTTTAACCCATCTGGAGGCCATCTTTCTGTATATCTATGTATGTAACACAGAGATTCAGCTTCACTTTTCTGCATATAATGAGTCAGTTTCCTCAACCCATCTACTAAATGATCAAATTCCTAAATATGAGGATTCACTTCTGAACTCTCTGTGCTATCTCTTTATATCTGTTGGTACATCAATAACATGATATTTTAAATACTACATCTTTGTATAATGCTATTTTATCTGATAGACCTTTAATCTACCAAATGAATTTTAGACTGTGCTGAGTTCCTTAAAAAAATTATCTGGAAATTTGATTGAGGTTCCATTGAATTTATCTATTAATTTAGGGGAGTTGATATTTTTGCAATGTTAGACCACCCAATCATAAACTTAGTATATCTTTCAATTTATTCAGATTTTACTTTGTATCCCATAATGGAATCTTAAAGTCCTATCAATGTCCTAAGCATAATTTCTTACATTGATTTCTAGAGAATATATAGTTTTTGTTGCCACAGTAAATGCTACATAATTTTCTATTATATTGTCTTTAAAAAACATTTTTTTAGCATATACCACACTTGGGAATCTATTCTATTTGGTATTGCTGGTACAAGATGAGAGGAAAGCTGTTAACTATTGAAAATTAATCTGATATTGAGAAGTCTTTCTGACATCTTATAGTTCTAATAGTTTGTTTTATTTGTTCTGTAGGATTTTCCATGTAGAGGATTATATCATGTGTAAATAGTAAGAGTTTTATTTTTCTTTTCTGAGCTGTATACTTCCTGTGCATTTTTTCTTACATTGCATTGTAGCCAGGGCCTTCTATAGGGAAAGAATGTATCTAGACTTCTCCACTAATTTCTGTAGGTTTTTGGATTATAGCTTTTATCGGATTAAGGCAGTTCCTTATGTTCCTAGTTTCATGAATTTTGTTTTTCTTTTTTTTTTTTTTTGAGACAGAGTCTCACTCTGTTGCCCATACTAGAGTGCTGTGATGTCAGCCTGCTTATAGCAACTTCAAACTCCTGGGCTCAAGCAATCCATCTGCCTCAGCCTCCCAAGTAGCTGGGACTACAGGCATGCACCACCATGCCCGGCTCATTTTTTCTATATATTTTTGGTTGGCTAATTAATTTCTTTCTATTTTTAGTAGAGACAGGGTCTCGCTCTTGCTCAGGCTGGTTTTGAACTCCTGACCTTGAGCGATCCTCCCGCCTCGGCCTCCCAGAGTGCTAGGATTACAGGTGTGAGCCACCACGCCCGGCCTCATGAATTTTTCTTAACCATAAGTCAGTATTGGCCTTTAACAAATGTTTTTCTGGGCCGGGCGCGGTGGCTCACGCCTGTAATCCTAGCTCTCTGGGAGGCCGAGGCGGGCGGATTGCTCAAGGTCAGGAGTTCAAAACCAGCCTGAGCGAGACCCCGTCTCTACCATAAAAATAGAAAGAAATTAATTGGCCAACTAATATATATATATATAAAAAAATCAGCCGGTCATGGTGGCTCATGCCTGTAGTCCCAGCTACTTGGGAGGCTGAGACAGAAGGATCGCTTGAGCCCAGGAGTCTGAGGTTGCTGTGAACTAGGCTGACGCCACGGCACTCACTCTAGCCTAGGCAACAAAGTGAGACTCTGTCTCAAAAAAAAAAAAAAAAATGTTTTTCTGCATCTAAAAGTTAATCAATTTTTTCCTCTAATCTATTAAATTATACATTGTAATAATGGATTTTCTGCTGTTGAACCATCCTAGCACTTCTCAAATAAACACATTTTATAACATACTATTAGATTTTATTTGCTAATAATTTATTTAGGATTTTTTAATACTTAAAACAAATATGTTTAACTTTCTTTTCTTGTACTGTCCTTGAGGCTAAGGCAAGTTTTACTAGCCTCATAGAATGAATTTGATATCTTTCTCTTTTTCTACTTTTGTTCACAGTTAAAGTTTGGTAAAACTCTCCATAAAACCCTGTAGGTCAGAAGCTTTTGGGGAATGATATCTTCAATCACTGTTTCTATTTAAGAAATTTCTTAGAATTTCTTAATTTCTTTGATTATGGATGTTTTCCATTTTCTCTCATCAAAACTCTGCATTTTATGGTTTGCCATAATGTATCCATTTTGTTTAAGTTATCAAATATATCAGTGTGTGGTTGTGGGCCAAAGTAACCTCATCTGTGCAATGCATGCAGTTACACTGTTAGTTCATGAAGCTGCTTTTGAGATTTAACTGAAGGAAAGTATGTGCCAAGTGCTTCTTCAACGATGAATATATTTACTGCTATGACCAGTAGCAGCTACTCTAGAGTAACCCAGAATTCTCAGCATGAGACCTGATCTCAGGGCAGCGTCAAATCAGTGAGATTGTAGTATCAGTTAGAGTGCTTAGCTGCAGGTAACAGAAAGCCCAACTCAACTTGGCTTACACAATAAAGAAGTTATCATTTCACATAACTGAAAGTCATAAGTAGGACAAACTCCAGGTTTGGCCATTGGAGCTACAGGTTGTCTTGCTCTTTTCTGATAGGGGAAAGAGAAAAAAAACCTTCCCCTTGAATGCAAAACATAAGATCTGTTTAGTCTGATAGAACCACATGCCAACTTTGAACCTGAAAGAGTCACTGAGGGTGAGCCACACAATGATGGTTCAGATAATCAACTGGCCTCATCTGGATCTGGAGAGAGTGCCTGAATCAAATCAGGGATCAGATGGGAAAGACAGGATGGATGAATGGATGGATGGATGGGGTAGATGGATAGACAGATGGGAAGATGAGTAGATAGATGGGTGGGTGCATGAATGGGAGGGATGGAAGGAAAGATGGATGGATCAATAATTTACATTTATTCTCTCCATATTTACCTGCCTATATTTCCCTTCAACCAACATTTACTGTGACCTACATCCTGTATGTAGCTTTGTGCTCCAGACTCAGAGATACAGTGCTAAGTAGACTTCCAACCAGAATATCCCCCTTTGAGCAGCTATTGCCTGCCAGACCCTCTGCAGGTGTTTTTCTTTATTTCTCACATCAATCTTGCAAAGCACAATTTCACAGATGAAGAATGTAGATCTCAGCAGGGGAAGTGGTCACATGCACCCATCACTCAGCAAGAAGAGGGTGCCTGCAACCCAGGTCTCCTAACTCCAACCCCCAACCTTTTCCCTGACACTGTGCAATGTCACTGATCCTTTACCCATTTCCAGTTATTGCCCAGGGCCTCATAAAGTACAACGTAGAAAGTCGAATCCAGAACATCCACCTTTTGGACAGTCTAAATGCCCCAGGGCAGGTGGCCCCAGGGATGGTGGGCTGGCTAATTGGTGGCAGGAAACTCCAGCAGCGGCAATATATCAGGTGAGACCCCAAACCTCATCCCTGGCCTTAGGACTCTGTATAGAGTTCTGGGTCAGAGGGAAGAGCTGGGAGGATAGAGGTGCGAGGCCTGTGAAGAGGGAAGGAAGGAAGATTGAAAGAAGAGAAGGCAGAAGGCCCAGTACAAGGGTGTGTGAGGGCCCAGTTGTACGAATCATAATTGTGTGCAACTGTTAGAGGCACTCTGGGATTGCTCACAGCCCAAGGCTCCTGCACCTGGCTCTTGCCCTCAGAGCATCTGAAAAAGGATCTCACTCCATAGCCCATTGCCAGGATCTCTTTATAGACGGGCCAGTCTTGCTTCTCAGCATGAGGTCTCATCGCACCCATGTGGGGCCTCTGCTCATTCCTTGTACAGCATCAACATCACCCACATTCAGCTGGACTATGGTGGGATCCAGATGTCTTTCCATAAGGAGCAGTTCTCTGCAAACATCTCACTTGAATTCGACATTGAATTGAGACCGTGAGTTACAGAGACACAGCATCTGAGAGGTGCTGGTCCTCCTTGCCTGGAACCTGGGAGCTGGGGGGAAGCTTGGCAGCCTGGGAAGCCCCGATCTTTCTGATCCCAATCTGAATTCAAATCCTTGCTTCCCAACTCACTCTCTGCATGACCTGGGGCAAGTCATTTCACCTCTCTGAGCCTTGGTTTCTTCAGCTGAAATGTGGATAACAATCACTAGTCAGTGGAAGCAAGACATTTGCTCATTTAAAGCTACATGTGTTCACTACATCGGGCTTGATTAAAGAAAGAAAGGGAGAACCACTGCAAGCTTCTCATCAGCCTCTGCTCCCCAGCCTCTCATTCAAATTATCTTTTCACATCCACCATCCCTAAGGAAAGGGAGGCTGCAGCTCAATGGGAAAGATTCTTTTTTTTTTTTTTTTGAAACAGAGTCTTGCTCTGTCACCCAGGCTAGAGTGCAGTGGCATCATCATAGCTCACAGCAACCTCAAACTCCTGGGCTCAAACCATCCTCCTGCCTCAGCCTCCCGAGTAGCCGAGACTACAGGCGCTTGCCACCATGCTGGCTAATTTTTCTATTTTTAGTAAAGACGGGTTCTTGCTCTTGCTCTTGCTCAGGCTGGTCTTGAACTCCTGAGCTCAAACGATCCTCCTGCCTTGGCCGCCCAGGGTGCTAGGATTACGTGAGCCACTGTACCCAGCCAAACCAAGATTTTCGAAATAGAGATTAACTCTCAACGTTTGAATTTCCAAAGGCCCCTAATCTGCTCTACTTAAGGAATTTTCCAAAGTCACTCTAGCTAATAGCAGTTTTCTCCTTAACCACTGACTTGAGGATTTCACTGGGCCTGGTTTGAGGAAAGGACTCCCGGTGCCAGGGAAAGCCCTGACGGTGGGCAGTGCCTATCTTTGCCCATATGGAGAGCAGCTCCTGGCATTGGCTGCTTCCACCTCCTTCTGCTCTGTCTCCTGCTCCTCCCCCGCCTCCTCTCTCTCATCTGCAGGGCCTTCAGTAACATCATACAGATGCACGCACACATGAACCTCATCGTGGCGTTCTGGCTGGAGACAGATGAGTTTGGCCGAAGAGATCTGGTGATAGGCAAATGCCACACAGAGCCCAGCAGTGTCCTCGTGACCATCCCCCCTGAGTAAGACCTCAGCTGCTCCGTCCCCCGCCAGGGCTGGACCCCCTTCCTGACAGGCCCTACCTGCAGCTCGCTTCCCCACCACTTCCTAGATGAGTCCAAAATGGATCTCATCCTTCCCCCAGGATCTGCTCCTTCTCCTGTGTCCCCATCCAGAGATGGCCCTGCCACCTTCCCAGAAGCCACACTCTTCCTCCTCCTCACTTCCCACAGCCCATCATCACCGGTTCCCATCAATGACTTCCTAGTCACCCTTGGTTGTTCCCTTTCTCTCATCCCCATGGCCACCACTTCAGCTCCTAATCCACTACCTGGACCATTACGGATGCCTCCTTCCAGCTTTCCTTGGCTCGGACCTCACCTCCTGCCCTCTGTCCCCCACCATGCAGCAGGAATAACTTTCTAACACAGAAATCTGGCCATGACCAAGCCCCTGCTCCAAAGCCTCCAGTGGTTCCCAACACCCTCTGGATAAAGAGTAAACTCTCAAATGTCACCCCAGGCCCTGCTTCTCTCTCCTGCCTAGCTCTGCAGCCCTCTGCCCTCCAGTCTCAGACCCACCCCTCCATGGCACACCTTGTATTTGCACACCACTGCGCCTTTGCACGTGCTGATCCCTTTGCCTGAAATGCTCTTCCTGCCTTCTCTGAAGCTCCAACTCCTCATCACTCATTCATTCATATATTTCCCAAGAATCGATGGTGTGCCAGGCTGCTATATGGTGTGCCATATCTGCTGCTAGGGATACAGTGATGAACAAGACAAAAACTCAAGCTTTCATAAAGCGCCATAGACTGGCTGACCAAGTCTGCCAACTTTGACAGACTGTGAGTCCCTTGAGGGCAAGATTTCTGCCTGATTTATCTCTGTAATTTCAGAATGCTGAAAGCAATTAAGACCTCAATGGATGTCTGCTTATTTATTCATCATATATACCCCTTGTATAGGGCTAGGTGAGGATCTAAGACTGTGCGAGGTGCACTGAACACACGCCCCCCTAGCATTAAGAGTACCTGGATTTATCCGTTTTGTTCTATATGCCCACCTCTCTGCCTAGGGCCATTCCACCAAAGATGAAGCACGTGCTCTTCAACTTAAAAGAGAACCTGGAAAAAGTTATCCCACACCTGGTAGAAGGTCAGGTAAGTTTGAGAAAAATATTTGCGCCTTGGGCATCCTTGAATCTAAGGTTCAAAGCACATATATTGGCAATTTAGCAAAGGATTTCAAACCTTGGGCTTTAGAACCCGAAAAATCTCAATTAAAAATTTTGATTTTGCCATCGGTTTTGCCAGTGTATCCTTTGGGCAAGAGACTTAGCCTCTCTGAGCCTCAATTTCACCATCTGTAGCCTGGGAACCATCACAGTCCCCATCTCACGGTGTTGTTACAAGGATTCAGGGAAGTGCTACACATGGCATTTAGCAGGGAGTTGGTAAACTCAATACAAGGGAGCTCTGGCCATGATTCCTGTGGGAAATCCAGTGGAGTAGAAGCTTCTAGCTGCAGGCACTTGGGTTTTCCTTTCCCAGCCCCTGGCTTAACCCTTCTTTCTGTGCTGGTGGCTCAGGTATGTCCTCTGATCTGTGAAATCCTTGGGCGGTTGGATGTGAAACTGTTGAAAAGCCTCATGGGTGAGTGTCTGGTCCATCCAAGGAGGACTCTTCAGCATTGGAAAGTGGCTAAAAGAGGTACCTCCACCCCTGGAGTCCCCAGGGAGGCCTGCTGGGAGGTGTCTGCATGTGCTGTAGAGGATGCTTTAGAGGTGACCGTATAATGATGATCATTGCTGTCCCCCAGGAGAGCTGGGACAGCAGGAGGGGGCCCCTATGAAGCAGGCTATGCCTTCCAAGTCACCCAGATTTTCAGGTTACCAGAGGTTCTAGGTTTTCCTAAGATCTCCACCCAGTCCAGTAGGTAGTGTGGCCCTACCCCTGACCCAAGAGCATGCCCACTCCAGTAGCAGATAAAGTGTTACAGTCCCTGCCCTCCTGGAGCTCACAGTCTGGTGAATGGAAGACATCAAGAAGCGAATAATTAAATATCAAAGAGTTTTCATGTGAATGCTTCCGGCACTAGCCCTTGGTGGGCATGGGTGGATGAGAGTTTCCCTTCAGTGTGGACCTGGGGTTGGAAGCGGGAACACATTGGTGACTGATGCTGTCTCTTCTCCTTACAGAATAGGCTGTTGCCCGTGAGCTCAGCTAACCACGAATCCAGCCAACCCTTCATGTGCCAGGCTTGAGGGTCCTCTAGCTGCCTACTGTTGATCGAAAGGAGATTCTATATCTTGGGACCTTAAGCCTCCTCCAGAGCGGGGCTTCTGCTGCCCTAAAAACCTTTCCCCCAGGTCCTGTGGACATGCTGTCCTCACCCACAATAAAGTCTAGCTCTGAAAGGTGTACAATTGTCCCCTGCCTGGGCCCTGAGTTTTAGTTCCAGAAGTCAGACTCATGAAGTATCTGTCCTGAGAACAAATATTGCTAGGTTTGTTCATCAGCCCAGAAATACCAGACAAAACATTCTTGGCCTGTGTTTTGCAGGCCAAAGCCCAGCCATGGCTTTGCTGTCAACACAGGGAGGGGCCTGTTGAGGAAGCCCCTTCCTTCCACTGTAGGAAGTGAAGGGCACCACCTACAGTTTCTGAGAAACACATAGAGACGGAGTGACACACTCAGTGTGGGAAAACAGTCTTCAAATGATAGCAGTGTGTCCTTCCACTTGTTTCTGATGCCCCAAGACCCTTCCCCTGTTAGCGTACAGATCATTCAGCCCCCGCCGCCTCAAGGAAGGGCATTTGCAGTGGAAGCATAAAAAGGCTTTTGAGTTTTGAGGAGTGACAGGGAACAAATGGGTGGTTGCCAGTGGGTGGGGGAGGGTATGACTATAAAGGGGCCGCACGAGGGTGCTTTGCAGGAGGGTGGAACTGCTCTGTATCCTGATTCCTATGGTGACTATGAAAAAGTGTTCATGTTAAAATTCATATAACCAAAACAAAAAGTCAATCTACTGTATTTTTTTTTCCTGTTTTTAAAGTCGGGATTTTTGAATTTTAAAACTCAGGACATAGGAGACTTTGAGAATAGCACATATGTAATGAGGCTTCCTGCCCCCAAGATTAGAAAATTCCCCGTGTTGGGTTGGTGGAATATAAGAGTCCAAGAAAAATTGAACAGAGCATAGTTCTGGTAGTTCTGAGAGTGTCTCAGGCCCTGACCACTGCCCAGACAAAACTAGGCATGTTAGGGGCAGCAAAAGTTGCCCCAAGCAGGTGTGTGGGTTTTAAGAACAGAGGGCATCTGGCCCGGCTCGGTGGCTCACGCCTGTAATCCTAGCACTCTGGGAGGCCAAGTTGGGAGGATTGCTTGAGCTCAGGAGTTCAAGACCAGCCTGAGCAAGAATGAGACCCCATCTCTACTAAAAATAGAACAATTAGCCAGGCATGATGGTGCACACCTATAGCCCCAGCTATTTGCAGGGCTGAGGCAGGAGGATGAAGCCTAGAAGTTTGAGGTTGCTGTGAGCTACAATGATGACACTGTACTCTAGCCCAGGTGACAGAGTGAGACCCTGTCTCAAAAATAAATTAATTAATAATAAATAAATAAAAAGAACAGAGGGTGTCTGTGCCCACGTTCCTTCCCAAACCTGGGAGAGATGACAAGACCCCAGGAGAGAGGGTTAATGGGAGAGTATAGGTGGGTCCAGGCAGATGGGCCTGGGCAGCCCCCCTGCACGGTCTTGCCTGAGGGCCCAGGAATCCATGAATAACAGAACAATTCTGTGTATCTAACGAAAGAGTTAAAAGTAAATGCTAAATACAAGGAGGGGAGTACAGTGTCTTGGCAATCTGGGAGCCAGATGGCACGTGGACGTCTCTGTATTGCAAGTCAAAAACAGGGACAGAAAATTAGCCGTGGGATGTGGCATGTGCCTATAGTCCCAGCTACTCGGGAGGCTGAGGCAGGAGGATCGCTTGAGCCCAGGAGTTTGAGTCTGCAGTGACCTATGATTGAGCCACTGCATTCTGGCCTGGGTGACAGACCAAGACCCCGTCTTAAAACAAACACAGAAAAATAGGCCAGGCCCGGTGGCTCATACCAGTAATCCTAGCACTCTGGGAGGCTGAGGCAGAAGGATTGCTTGAGGTCAGGAGTTTGAGACCAGCCTGAGCAAGAACAAGACCTTCTCTCTACCAAAAATAGAAAAATTAACGAGGCATAGTGGCGTGCACCTGTAGTTCCAGCTACTCTTGAGCCCAGGAATCTGAGGTTGCAGGGAGCTATGACAATGCCACTGCATATTAGCCAGGGCAACAAAGCAAGACTCCGTCTCAAAACAACAATACAAAACAAATAAACAAGAAAAACCCCCCAAACCCCAAAACAGGAACAGGGCGGCCTCTTTGGCACAAATGAAGCCCCTGGAATGGAAACAAAACCCCAGGGAGAAATGGGGAAGTTCCTGCTACTGAGCAAAATGGCATTAGAAATGGCATTTAAATTATATTATTGATAAATCAGAAAGAAAGATATGTGGACACCTGAGTTTATGAACTGAGATTCCCAAACATCATCTCCCCATAGCCCTGTGAGGTAGATATTATCCTCCTCACTTTACAGATGCAGAAACTGAAGTTCAGAGGACTTGGGGTGACTTGCCGAGGGCTACAGGATTTGAACCAGGGCTCTCTGAGCCCAAATCCACCTGCTTTCTGCTGTAACACAGATGTAGTATCCTGGCTTCAAACCACAGGATATAAGCTTTTAGTTAACTGCCTGTACAAACTTGACTCAATTTCATGCCTTACCTGCCTCAATTTCTCCACAAGGATAGTAGCAACCTGACCCAACCCACAAGAATTATACAAAGATAACAAAAATTGGGACCACTTTGGGAATGACTGTTACATACAAGATGTGAGAAGAGTCCAGAGAGTGCTTTGAATGGATAATTGAGATCAAAGCCATGGCCACAGCCCCATAGACTCTCATGGGCAGTGGAGCAGGCCCAGGGAAGGTCTGGTGTGAGGGGAGGGCAGCGTGGCTCACTGATTACCAGGGAGTCAGACAGACACAGGGGCTGGGGGTGAATTGACTCTAACACTCACTTGCTGTGTATTCTTGGGACGTGGTCACCCTTCCCCATCCTTAGTCTCCACATCTGGCATAGGAGGGACAACAATACCAACCACTCCTGATGAACATGAAGTTCAAATATGGAGAACTCCTGGCATGTAGCAAGTGCTTAATAAAAGTGTGTTTCTTCCTTCTCTCTCTACTGCTGCTTATAAGGTATTAGGTTTTTCAGGACAAGAGCTGCTCTCACTGCTCCAAGACCCTGGCCTTGCTATGCCACAGTTTTTTCACCTGTTAAGTAGACTCCAAAAGCCCAAGTAGTGGGGCCAAATGCCTTATTGCTTCATTTGGGGAAGGGGAGAAGAAAGGGTAAGGGGGCAGACCAGGATACCACAGGATCCGTCAGACCTAGGAGCTTGGAAAGACTTTTCTAGGGTATAAAAGTGGGAAGTACTAGAGCTGGAAATTTACAGCTACAGGAGCACACAGTGGCCAGCAAGTGTGATCCAGCATCGTCATCTCTCTGCACAGGGACCAAGAGAAAGGACCACTGTGTGGCTGTCTACTTCAAAGTATAGGTACTAGTTCTGGCTTTGGACAACATTGCTGGTTGCCAAATAGACCTGTGGGAGGATTAGTGGTATCCAGGAGGCATCTGATCAAAAGGCAGCCAAACCTCAAGGGTTGCCCCAGAATTTTATCCAGGGCAGTTTGAGGGAGAAGAGAAAGGTGTAGGAAAGACAAGAGTGTGTTTGTGTGTTGGGTGAGGGAAGGAAATGGAGACCAGTCTTCAATCACAGCTCTGCCATCGATTTGTTGTGTGACCTTGGGAAAATCACTATCCCTCTCCGGTCCCCTGATTCTCTGTGTGCAATGAACACTTTGGATGGCCCCAGGATTTCCCCAGCCAACACAGATCTGCCTGAGATGGTGGCTGTGGCCTTAAGACCCAATATTGTGTGACTTGCAAGGGTATCCACAAACCATCATGGCCTGAACCCTGGTCAAAGGACTTAACCAAGGTGGTGGCCAAGAAGTTCAGTTCCTCAGCACGTTTAGGCCTTTTTATTTGCTTTGTCTGAAGATTCAAGCCATCGGGCGCAAGCCCCACTGGAGAGTAAATCTGATGGTCACTTAATTTAACAGAGGCCTCTGGTCCACACAGCTCTGGCTTCTGATCCTCTCTGCATTGTGCACGTGTGACCTTGGGGGAAGTGATTTACACTCACTAGCTCTCCGTTTCTCCACTTGCACGATGCAGGTCATAAGCAGCCATGTCTCAGGGTCGTGGTGAACATGGAATCAGTTGCAGAGTGTAAAGCGGGGAGCCAGTTGCCTGGCGAGGGTTAATTCCTTAGCAGCATCAGCTGTTACCAGTCCCCTCCCCCACCCCACCCCACCCCACCCCCCCGTGTTCTGGGGAGCAGACAAATAAGAACCCCACCTCTTGGGGGCCCAGGGGAATGTGGTGGATAAATTCCTGTCTGATATCCATGCCATCTGTCCACATATACCAAGACAGAAACTATTTCAAATTGAGGGCTTCGTTTCTTATAATGAGCTGTTGGCCCAGACTATGGCCAGCTTGAAGGCCTGCCCTTGCCCCTGAATCAGGCCCCTCCCTTGACTGTGACTCCAGCCCTGCCTTCAAGTCCTACAGATCTCGCTGGAAACTGGACAAGTGGTAAGTGAGCATGTAATAACCTCTTGTGTGTATGTGTGTCCTATGTCCAACTGTCAATGCGAGGAGGGGCAGGCATGAATGGGGAGAGGGTCTGAGGATCTGGAATTGTCACAGCTAACCCCCAAAGACCCTTACACCTATTTCCAGCCCTCAGCAATGGCCTGCTCTTTGGGGGGGGGAGAGTCTGTTGGACATTCAGGAAAGCCTTCTGCTCTTGAACATCCCGCAGTCTGGAGAAGGTACTTCTGGTGGCCTGCTTGGAGGTCTACTTGAAGAAGTGATGTCAGTGATCCCTGGCCTAAACAACAAATTTAGTTAGCCTAAAATAGGGCCTTGGTCCCACCAGGGAACCCCAGTTGAAGATCTGCAGCCCCAGGCAGCGGCCCTGAAGGAGTGAGAGGGGTGGCCTGAAGACGGAGTCGGGATTCAGTCCTGAGACCCATCTCCAGCCTGGCAGGGGACACCAACTCTCTCATACCAGTAAATGCCCCAGTCCTGAGCACATCCTGGGGCCCCAGCATCATCTGTAATCCTTACCACAGCCCTCTGAGGTCAATTTATTATTTTTTTAATTTTTAAATTTTTTTTTCAAGACAGAGTCTCACTCTGTTGCCCGGGCTAGAGTGCTGGAGATCAGCCT